CCGCGCGGCGGTGGCGACGGTGGAGCTCGACTGGGCAGTGCTGCCCCCTGCGGCCGCGGGCGGCACTGCAGGCTCTGGCTGCCCGCCGCGCCCTCACAGGCCTCCGGGCAGAGCCAGGCCCTGGGCCTTGTCCTGGCCGCAGTGAACCGGGGTCCGCGGCGCCCGCCGGGAACCCGGGCAGTTCCCGCCAGGCACTCGGTCACAGCGGTGCGAAAGTTACGAGCGTCCCTCGGTCGTCGGTTCTCCCTCCTTCCTGTCTAGGCGGCGAGACCAGAGGGCCGGCGCTCCGCCATAGAAGTTGTCCAAGCTGCAGGCCAAGTCGTGTGCGAAGCCGCCCTTCGGCAAAGCGGTTCACCCTGCCCCGCTCCTGCCTCAGCTCGGCTCTTTGCTTTGCGTTGCTCTTTTCCAAATACCAGGTTTCCTCCGTGCTTCCACCAGGTCTCTGCTCAGATGAGAGCCGAGCTTCCGACTCAGCCTCGCACAAGTTGGCGGCCCGGCCCTGGCGCTCATTCTCACACGCTCCTGCAGCCTGCTGTGCCTTTCAACACACACCAACCTCGAAGAAAACAGACACGTGTATGACAGATGGACAGAGACATCTTCTTATGATTCAGCATTCCAATGAAATGGATGTCCACTGGGGCCATCCGCCTTTCCCTTGTGGGGGCTGCGGTGGGACAACGACTGGTGTCCTGGCTTTGCTTTTCCTCCATTATCGCCGTTCCCCACACAGCTGCCAAACTGACCTTTTGAAAGCACCCAAGGAGGGCTGTCACCCACCACCCATACAGTGAAAAGCCCTTCCCTGTCCCCCCATTGTTCTAAACCCCGGCTGACTGTAAACCAGGCCCCACTGAGATTTCCAGGCCTGAATCACTGAAAAGACTGTGCTGTCATAGATACCAGAGTAATTACTGTTAAGTTTTTAGTGTTCCATGCCAAAATAAATGTGCTGGAAGCCTGACAGTGTCAGATTTCCTTCTCCTCTACATCTCATCTCCCACTGCCCCTTCTCCCCCCTGCCTCTCCCTCCCTCATCATCTCTGCCAGGATGACTATGCACTTTCCAATCTGCCTCCCGCCTTCAACCATCTGCCTCCTCTCCTCCTCACCCCACAGTAGTTCATTCTCTGCACAGGCTCCAAAATTCTCATCGTAGCATCCTTCTACTTACAAACTATCGTCACTATTTTTCACCGTCTCCTCTGTGAACCATCTTTTCAAAGGCCGTTCTGGGTGTATACCCTGCTTCTCCCCTTTGGTAGCAAGTGACATTACAGGAATCCAAAACCAGGTGGATTGAAACAAAGGGAAGTCCATTCAAAGCAACACAAAGACATTTTAATTCCATTCACACAGACACACAAGTGACAAAAGCTAAAGAACTAGGATTTCAGGACCAGGAAACCAAGGCTCAGAGTGGGTGCCATGCCTTTTACCCGCTGTTGGTGCCGTGGGCCTGCTGGTCTTCACCAGGTTGCTTTCTCCCCCATGTCGGATCTCTTGAAGTGTCTTGGAGGATGGCCTCACAGCCCAGCACCACGGCCCCAAGACTAGCTGCCTCTGCAGAATCCAGGGAGTGCACCTTTGCGACCATATCTAAGCAGGGAGAGGAACGAACCAGCAGACAGTCCTCCAGAGCCCTTCCACTGTCCTGTCCCACCAGCAACCGGTGAGACAGCTCTTGTTACCCCCCATCTTCACCAATGTTGGTGTTAATAGGTTTGTAATGGGGCCCTGTTGTTTGAATTTTATGTATCAGTCGTGTATGTATCTGACTTTTTCATGTAGTTAGTTGCCACCTGTGTATCCTTTTCTTGTGCTGTATCCATTGAAATTTTTGCCTCATTTTTAATCTGGTTTTCTTGTTACTGAATTTTAGAAATCCTTTATAAACTTTGGATACCAATCATTTATGATTTTGCTTTGCACAAATTTCTTCCAGTCTGTGTGTTGTCTTCTTAAGCTCTTGGTTTGTTGAGATTTTTCACTTGAGAAAAGGATTCCATTGCTTAAAAAAAAATGAAAACTGTCTTGTCATCTTGGTGGGGTTTGTCCTTCCTTCCTTCTTCCCCCCTCCCTCCCTCCCTTCCTTCCTTCCTTCTTCCCTCTCTCTGTCCCTCCCTTCCCTTCCTCCCTCCATCCCTCCCTCCCACCCTCCCTCCTTCCCTCCTTCCTTCCTTCCTTCCCTCCTTTCTTCCTTCCTTCTTTCTTCCTTTTCTAAGGAGAAAAGTAAAGCTTAATTTGGATTCTATTACAGGGATAGATGAGCAGCTAGATAGTGTATTATGGCTGCTGCACCAGTATAAACTTGTGGCCAGGCTTTTGTGTGGTGACTTTGGATTTTGGTGATTACCCTTCTCCTTTTGTGTGGCCCTTGTTGATTGGTTAACTTCCAGATCATGGTTTGAATTCTCCAGTAGGAATATTTGAGGTTAAATGCTCTATGTGCAATAGCTAATAGTGCAGACACTGCTGGTTGCCCTGGGTCAACAACTCCTATTTTTTTTACACGCTCTTGGCTCTTGTTTTCAGAGGATGAGGCATAATTATGAGTCCCAGAACAGGCTCCTGAGTTACCCTGTGGCCACCTCTGAGCAATTGCTTCTGTTCTACAGCTTTCAGGATGTGAGAGATTCAAGCAGACATAGGACCCTCAATCATCTTCACAAGTGCCGTGTTCCCGTTCCTGCCTCTTTCCAAAGGTTCTTGTTCTGGACACGGATTGCTGCAGGGTTTTGATGTTGGCAGGGGTCTTGCTTTGGCCTCCCGAAGGGGGGGAGGGGCTCTGCTGATACGGAGTCCCTTTTGGGTTGTTTGCCCATGGTGTCCGCTGACTTGCTGGGAAGGACCTCTGAAGTAACCATGGAGCCCAGCTGCAGCATGGTTTCTCAGACGGTTATTTAGTACCAGCTGGAAGCAGACCTCAGAGTGTTATACTTAGTGATTGTGATGGGTAAATGTTTCCTCTTGCTCTGTCCTCCTCCTGCAGCTGGTCCCTAGTGACTATGAGTGCAGGGCAGAGCCCTGGCTTCGCTTCGAGTAGAGACCCTCGTGGGCCAAGTTAGCAGGTGAGCCCTGTGTTAGCAGGGCTGTCATCACATTCAAGGGGGAGCTGAGGACAGAGCAGGAGGATTGAAGGTGCAGAATGTGGACATACAGTGCTCAACACATGCACACACAGAGCAAGAGGAAGACAGAGCTGCAAGGCAGCTTCCAGCTGGCCAGCCAGGAGGGATAACCAGGTCTCCACATTTGTTGACATGCTGCAGGTGCCACGGCAGCCCGGTTCCCTTCATGGCTTGGTTTTCAAGGCCTCGATCCCAGCGCTAACCAGACCCTTGTATAGAGAAAGTTTGATTCCCAATCTCTCCTCAAGGATTAGGGCTGCAGTCCCATGTGTTTGCTTTTCCCTTCCTCAACAGCTGCTCAGGCTCCACCAGCTGGGAAGCGGCTCGCTCGCCCCTAGCGCATGCCTCTCCCGGAAGGAGAGCCTCCCTGGGGGTATTTCTGCTCATTTATTGATAAGTTAAGGGAATTTTTCCTACTGCCTGCCTCTTCCATGCTGTTACACTTCACTGCAGACATCCAATAGTCCTAAGGGGGAAGAGACCGTTTTCCTCATCCATTCCCTGTTGACTTCCTATTTTCCCCCCATTGACTTCCTGTTTTCCATGTCTCTTGTTCCTCAGAAAGACCACCTAAGAAGCAAGCAAAGTCACTTTGTGCTTACAGCCAGGCTGTGACGGAAAAGCCTGTTCGTAAAATTAATAGCAGAGCATTATTTATCAACCTGTGCATTTTATTAACCTATATGTCCTGCAAAAACATGCCCTTCAGGGCTCTCTTCCTGGCAATATGGCAATCTAATTACCCACATCATTCTTCTGCTGAAAAATAGCTGAAAAAGATTTAAAAAAATCAAAGTCCAATGAACCAGCAAGAAAGAAAATAATACACGAAGGATGGTCCATGGGCCAGCTGTAACCAAAAGATGTGAGCAATCAGCCATCAGCCTAGAAATTTTCCAGGCCATGAGTCTGAGCCCATTTTCACCGCCTCAGGGTGCTGGGGAGCAAACAAGGCAAGGATCACCCAAGAACGACATCCAGGGAGCCCCTCTTCACAGAGTTGAGGCTCTCATGACTGTACCCCTAGAAGAACGTGGCCTGGAACTCTGCATCCAGACACCCAGATCCTTAACATGGACAGCAGACAAAACCCAAACCACTAGTCCAAAGCTGTAACCACTGGCCACACAGCCCACATGCATGTCACCTAATACACGTGTCTACTGCTCAGAGCCTGTCATCGGCCATGCCACCACATGACTGTCACCTAACACAAACGTGTCTACTGCACAGAACTTGTCATCCAGCCACACCACAGGGGTGTCACCTAACACTCACGTGTCTACTACACAGAGCCTGTCATCCAGCCATACCACACATGTGTCACATAACACACACGTGGCTACTGCACAGAGCCCTGTCATCCATCCACACCACAGCTATATCTTCTACACAGGGTTCTTTTGTCCAGGTAAAACAATAACAACAAAATCTCAGGCCAGCATTAGCTTCGAGGCACCTTGCAAAATCTGCACATCAGTAGCTCACAGAAAGATATTAAAAAAAATCTTCAAGGAAAGAAGGTACCATGAACAAATGTCAGCAGAGACAACAAACAATTCAAACAGACCTGCAGAGACCTTTGATACTGGGATTATCAGACGTGGTATTAAAACCTTTTGCATTGTACACAGTCAAATATTTGAAGGGGGTTATTAGGAGAGAGAGGCATGATTAGTAGGGGGGGAAGGAGTAGAGAGGGAGACAATGAACAAAGTGCAATAGAGACATGTATGAAAATGCCACGCTGAAACTATGAAAAATGAACCCCAAACAGAGGAGATCTGAAAAAGAATGGAGCCAAATGGCTAGAAATAAATGTAAGAAATCTTTTTGGATGGGTTTAGGAGGAAGAGCTGTGACACTGGAAGACAACGGCGGTGTGTGAGTTTACATGCAGGAGATTGGCACAACTAGGGACAGGGATGGCTGGTGGTGGGTGGCAGCGATTTCCATCTTGAATACAGGAGGTGAAAACCTGTTGGAAACCTAGAAAGTGCATGGGAGCCAGTGTTGGCTTAGACAGCAAAATGGAGCTGGTGTGATGAATCAAACTACCCACGGTCCACCCACTTCCCTATTTCCTGGGAAGTGTGAGTTGAGCAGACTCTCCTGTGGTGAATAAAGACCCTCTCCAGTGGCGGGGAGCAGGAAGCACTTTGCACCTACTGTTGCGTTCATGCGTCTAACTGACCTTCTGAAAGTGTTCCTGATACTGTCTCTGCGTTTCGGAGGTGGATGTGAAGTTTGGCTAGCTAGATTGTTAGTTGACAGATATAAGGGGAGATGTGCCTGCTGCATACGGATGTCGGGTGTCCCCCAAAGGTTCCTGAGGAACCACCATTGGTGGCACTGTTGAGAGGTGATGGACCTTAGGGAGGTGGGGCTGAGTGGGAGGTCTTCAGGT